TAGCAAACACAACAAAATATATTCACTTATATTTCAATATCGCTTGTGTTGCGTTCTTATTTGCATTTACAAATCATCTTAGTTTATCATCAAAATTCAGAAGCAAAAATCTCATAAAGATTTTGATTCCATATCAACGTTGGTGAGTATTTATTTTGTCATACATAATTTATACTGTTAAAAATTAATTTTATTTAAGATCTTTTATTCATTATTTAAGCTTTTTGTTAACATGCAGATATATCCATGCATTCTTGCCGAAAACAGGTATTAACGAATTCTTGATAACCTCTATTGATAACAGTTGAAACTCTCTGTCAGTACTACATGATGGTGATGTTTAAAGCTAATCGAGAGATTCCCTTGATGCTTAGATCAAACTTTCAAGAGAAATACAAAATGTTCAATTTGACCAAATTTGTGAGATATATAATTCAGCTTTTGATAACATGTACAATAATCAAAGTTAAACTACATATACAGTCGGTTGCGTTTAACTTTAGCTATGTCATGTAAATAAGTACAATTAATAAGAATTTTGCAATTTATTTATATCATTAAATGAAAAGCCGTTTTAAAGTATATATATATGACCTAAAATAGCGTGATCATTAGTCGGACCACTCTATATTTTCACACGTAAAACATGTGACAATTATCAAAATTACTATTAAGCAATCAATAAAGTGCACACTTAGATTAAACAACAAAGATATATTGAGAATTCAAAATGTTTACCACCCAGAAAAAGCTACATTCAAGCTATTTACGACTTAGATGAATTCATTTATTTAAATCTTTGTTTCGATAGGTTTCCGTTTAGGAAAATTTGAGTGAATTTTCTTTTTATTGATTGTTGTATCGTGAGAATCTAATGCAGTATTTTCAACGAAATTCAGGTTTATTGAATGAAATATAGATGAGTTAGTGAATAAGCGTGATATCACAATGCAAGAAGATTAGACCAACAGACGAAGTTGAACAATAAACAATAGCACATCTAATATTATTCATTCTTAACAACACAATATGATTCAAAGTAGAAATTTACGAAACACTAAATACTGGACAATAACAGTTCAGACGTAAGCACACAAAAATCCAAAATTCAAACATCTGTAAGAATGAAATATGAGCAGTGCCCAAAGAATTCTTGGCCAAGGTAATGACAGCTATCTAGTATTTATGTCAAGCTATGATGAAGACTACTTTTTCCTGTTTATTGATGGATAGGTTCGAACTTACTACCAAGCATTTAGTAAAACAAAGGTTCTAAACAATAAATCAGTGTTCAACTACATGATTCTCAGACGATGATGATAAATAATTTCGCATACAGAGTATATGATTTATTATAATATAGTTTCATTAGTCTTAATAAAAACCATTTTATTTAACCGTCCATTATTGAAAAACAATGGTGGGTGGCAAATGATGTTCAATGAGGGGTAACAGGCATAAGTAAGTAATTAACAAACAATACATTCACAACTACAAAACTATCCGAAACCACGAAATTGTGTCTATTAAAAACTGAGAAATAACAGTAATGGGAAGAAATAAATTTGACTAGTCAAGTATCACCTTGTAATTCAACTGAAAAAGAAGACAATTTAGCCATGCAAAAACAATCAGAATAAGCGTATTTTAAGCGTTGAATATAACCTAGAATAGATCATATGTCAAAATTTATTAGAAAATAATCGCCAATGATCTCTAAAAAAACAACAACACGACATTAAATACCAAAGTGAAAATATTACTGAATAAATAACAGTAGTGAATAAGTGAATAACATTTGTTAATGACTTGAAAAAAACCTGATTGAAAAATTCTCTGATTGACAGTAATATAGTGGAAATAAAATAATTTTTAAATACATGGATAGACTCTGAACAGCTGATGCTTCGTTCTATTTAAATGTCATGAGAAAACATTTGAAAAGGTACTAACACAAATGGTTAAAGTATTATTGTATTGAGTTTCAATTACTATTAATCACTATGTCTCAGATTAGTTATATGATTGAGCAATACAATTTCGTATAAATTTTTTTTCTCAATACAATTGACTGTTATTCATTTCAATAACTCATCAATGTTAAATGTTGTATAAATCAAGCTTTTTAAAAGTTTGATAATTTAACATTAAGAAACTTAGATTTTTATAGAAATCATTAATTTAATGGATGATTTTTAAAAGTTAACTTTAGAGTATATCAAATACTTTTACTTATCTGTTTGTATTTGTGGGAAAATCCAAATTTCATTATCGTAAATTTATTTACAATTTTGTATTGATTTCTCCCATCACTACTGTTCATTTCATTAGGGAAAGATAAAAATGGAACATCCACAACTAGACTGGGAATCGAATCTATAGCCTTCAGTTTTTTTTTCCATTAAGGATGGCTAACTTTGAGATCATTGAGCTGGCAACCAATGGCATTATCCAATGTCTAAATTCAACTAGTTCATGATAAAGTGCAACCATCTTCTAATGCTGGTGGTAGTTTACATTCGCTACAGTTAAACTACAATTTATGATGTAATGAGGTAGTTCAATCCAAATGTACTTGGACGGAAAATAATACGTACTATGGTTAGTGTTTTTTTATTGCTTTTTTTTAAAAACCCTAGGAGTGAATATATACAAACGAATTTATATAATATTAGAACGAAATATAGTTGTCAAAAATTCCACCAGTTAAATCACACATGAAGAAACCTTCCAGAGACGAAAACAATGTAAAATATATGTCTACAAATAATCCATCTTCATAGTTGGAACAACGAGTCGATCTAATCTAGATAAACATTGAAAACCTGGAAGCACTAGATGATTATTTCGTCCTAGGATGGGACCCACCAAAAGTGCGCGTCCAGGATGCCGCTTACTGAACTCGAACCCAGGGCCTACAGACTCGTGCATGAACCCTTAACCTACAGACCACTGATTAATCATCAATTGATGTTAATGTCTAACTTCAATCGATCTATGATCTTGCCCAACTCTCTCCCATTGTCTTCATACAGTAACTGCCAATGCTTCCAGGTTTTTAATAGTTGTCTAGTTTAGACCGACTCATGAATTCAACTGTGAAACTACTACAATCTGTACAAATACCCAAACAGAAAATAAATTATTCGCAAGTAATCATATGAGAATAAATAAGCGAATGTACGATAAGGTGAAATAAGTAGACCTAGTTTTTCACATCGATAACAATATTTTAAAAAAACAGATAGCATCAACTAAATAATAACCGCATAAAGTATATTTGACTCAGTTCAAACTAAAAATCATTATTCATTTATGACGAAAAAATTCTTAAAATCACTGGTATTTGAAATGGTGAAGACAATTTTTAGCTCAACTGTCTTTTTTGACGATAGTGTGTTGTCTAAATTGTTTGAATTAATGATTTGGCCCTAATCTTCGGGGTTTTTTGGATTAGCGTTTTGTAATTTTGAACAAGAATCAGTTATCTTTTAGCAATACTTTGTGATCATTACTCAGTTATTATTATGACTTTTATGCTTTTCGTATTTCTTCATATTTGTCAAGTGAACAATTATCATTCATAGTTTTGATACGTAAATTATTTTCCCTAACCCCCTGATTATTACGTAACCTCATTTGAGAATTGGAGTCTCGAATAACTTTATTATGCAATCTTGTGTGAATTAATTCGAGAGAATTCACTCTCAGTCTACAAGACATCATCTGTGCTTATTATTGTTATTATTATTAATGGGTTTATTAAAAATTATATTTTTGGTACAATATGGAATTCTCAGCGCAATGTGTTTTAAAAAGTTTTTGCTTCTTATTTCTTGATCGACCCTGATGATAGATATTGAGTAGTCACCAGTTCACGAATCAACATCTGAATAATATTCATTCTTATCAATGCAGATTGCCACCCATCATGATGCCTCCGGTTGTACATTTTTGTAGCTTGTACGGCGAATGGTTGTGAACTTTTTACAAACCCGCCTGAATAATTTATGCGATTAATAGACATAATAATGTGTTAAAACAAACAAAAACAGATAACTTGGGGAAATATATAGATGGCAGGAACAGGTAGCCCAGATAATCAAGAAAGTCGCCCCTAAACGTTAACATCACCTAAAACATTAGATTGATTGTTATCCACTGTAGATAATGAGTTAGTGTTAAGATCACATGGTTTTCAACAAACCAAAGTTTTTAGACTTGGACCTAGCTGTACCATGGACAGGTTAATCTGTTGGATAGTATAGTTAATCTCCAAACAAAAAGGAAATCTAATCCAAAGGTCAGTAAATACACTTGTACTGGGTCAGTTACATTATTATTATTATTTCAGATTGCTATAAGTATTACTTAAATTAGTATACTACTTTATTTTAAGTTAAAACAACTTATGAACACCTTATGAGATTATGTCACAATTGTGTGTGAAAGAGTAGCAATCAAATAATGCAGTCCCTCTATCTGCGACTCACTCATTCCATTCAATTAATTGAGTACGTTTTTCTTAAAATGTAAACATTACGTAACAAAAAAAATCAAATCATTCTAATCTAAACTTTAGATTTGCACTGAACTATTGTATACTAGAATATTAGAAATCAAATAAAAGAATACGAAATCAATGGTTAAATAAAATGAGTAAAGAGTCTATCAAGTGCACAAATTATAGTAAAACAGAACAATTTAAACCATTTAATCTTATAGAATGCTAAAGATTTATTATTCTAAAAAAACGGAATCAATATAGAACTTTGAAAATAGGTGAGAAAAAGAGAAAATGAGTGAGTTTAAATAAAAAGAAATACTTCAAACAATTACATGGAGGATATGAATGGTATAATTATTGCATAATCATTGAAATCTAACAGTATAACCTAAAGTCCTGTTCAATTTATGGAATAAAGAAATCATTAGATGAATTGGATGAAAAGTTTGATTAAATAGAGCAATTGACAAAAAAAACCTTAATGAACACTTACTAATCTTCGTCGTTTTTTATTCCAACCTTCAGCTCTTCTCCTGGAGTCTGCACGACCAGAGGCTATTACAATGAAAATATGAATTGAAAAAAAAATAACGAAATGAAAAATAAAAGCATAGTGGTGATATTTACATGGAATATTTTTAGCACATCATGGTAGATGTGATAAGATAAATAAATAATTCATTAGAATAATTTCTTCCTACATTTAATTATGTCATTAGCAATTAATATTTGTTGAATCATCTATGGAAATAAAACAGTAATTTGTAATCGAAATCTCCACAAATCCGCATAGTGATAATCATGTTTTCACTAGTGACTAGCTTCAGGATTAATTCATTGGAATTCTAGTGAGAAGCCGTGACAAATGGAGTCCAGTCCGTGTCGTGTGTGAGAAAGTTATGAAGGGTTGAGAAACATCAGGAATCAGTTTAAGTTAGATATTAATACCGCTGGATGCCTGCACAGTGGTCTACAGGTTAAGCGTTCGCGTACAAAAGCGAAGGTTCTGAGTTCGAGTCTCACGTGCAGGACTGTAGATGAACACTGTTGAGGAGTCCCATAGTGGGACGAAACCGCCGTTCAATGTTTACAGGTTTAGCATAGATCCACTCGTCAACTGAACTGTGAAAATAATGAAGCGGTACGGTCTTTATAATAATTGTAAATTGTTACTTATTCATTGTCAGGAAAATGTGTTAGATTTAGTTCAATAATTAAGAATTATTTCAGTTCTAAATAACGATTAGAATGAGTAAGAAGAATTGATATTAATGGAATTATTTTAATTGACATATAAAGTAAGTTATCTAATCAACAACTTCATCATTGAATATTCGAATTCAAAGGAATCGTATTTATTTTGAGTATATTACAAATATCGTTAGATTTTTAAGCGAGACTATAATTTATAGACGAACCAATCAGGTATAAGATTTCGCCACGAAATTCACTCACTCATTTGGTTAAATAAAGCCTTGGTATTATAGCTGATGTCAGTTCGTGATGAAAATACTAAATCTAATTTCTAACCTTAACCATCAACTGTAAATCATAATTCGAATTCCTCACACAAATTTATAATCTTCATTTGGTCCTAGTTATCAGGTAGGCACTCATATGGTCAGCCTAGCGTCGCTCAAAAGTAGTCTCATCGATTTCTATGTTACTAATAAGTAAAGCATCAATACTGAATGCATAAAATTCCAATTGATTAATTAAATAAATTATTTTATTATTAACTGTGTCATACTATTTTTCTTTCAAAATGATTAATGAATTTTAAACAAAACCTTTAAATAGAAATGAAATATACTATTTATATTTTACAGTGTAAATTCGACAGGAGTAAATCACAGTGCTGAATATTTAGAAAAAAAACTTGGGAACTTTTCAGTATATTTTAATTGTCATGTGAATGCTGGTGAAATTTTTACGACATTAATCTTGGGAAGTGGAAATTAGAGAAAACATTAAATATTATCAGATATTTTATCAATCAAGTATTTATTGTGTAGATGTATTCGATGATTACTTAAAAAACTAACAGTCACATAACCATTCTAATTTATATACATAGTAGACTCATTCTAATCGTAGCATTTGGTATATATACAAAACAGCCCTTCATTTGATTCACTTCTTCAATCAGTTATGCACAATGTAAAAGTGGCACATATGTGCAACGAATTACAGTTACTACACAGCATCAGTACAGTGAAATGTCGAAGTACTATAAAAAGTAACAGTAATAATGACAGTAATGAAAATATATTTTTTCTTATATCCCAATGAGTAGAAAATTGTATTTCTGACGTGTTCTGTACTTAACTCTATATTACTGAGGCCAACAATCAATGATTTTAAAGACTGATGCTACGACTTATTTAAGCCAACTACGGAGATTGTCAAATCATTCGTACTTTTCCTTCAGAAAGAAATCAAATTATTAGTAGCGTCTTTATTTTTATGTATTTCTTAATAATTTATTAATATACGGATTATGAAAATGAAATTTCTTTCTTTTATATATTTCAAATATCATTATGTAATTATTTGAACTTTTATACAGTTGACCTTCATTAATTTTCATATTAGAAATGCCTGGACATGTACATAAATGTGACCAGACTATTGAAAATATGTTTTATAAATGCATTATATATTATTTTTAAGTTTCATTCTATGTTCTCATAATAAAAACGATGTTTACAAAACAGATTCATTGTTACAAAACACTTATAACAACTAAGTTTAGTAAATGCATTCCGAAACTAGGCAATCAGTCAATTATAAATGGAGAACAACCTGCCTCAAAAGAGAATAAATTAGAGCGAAATAATTTAAATAACAATAATCTTAGTGTGTAGTCAATATCCATAACCATGAAATGTAGTTCGAAATAGGCGGAGTAAGTCAGTCAGCTACAAAGTAGGACCAAGCAAAATTGTGCATCGGTCCAAGTTGCCACACCTCATTAGCACAACAGCATGAACACCAAAGAGGTGGTTGAAACTAACGATTTATATGAACATACAAAACTAATGCAACTGCATCACCCCTGATCGAGGCGGTCAGCAAATGTTTCAACATTAAAAATCAAATATCGAGACCTATGAGCGGAAACAATGCTTTAATAATCAATAATAATAATAGTAGTATTAAAATGAAGTAAAACTAAACCGCTACAAAGTAACCTGAAACATAAATGTAACATTATCGACCATAACCGAAAGGAAAAACACCAGACAAGGCGGAAAGTTAATCAGTCAGTAACAACGTAGAACTTCGTACGTACGTACATCAGTTCTAGTTGCCACGCCACATTAGCACAGAGATGCAGTGGTCGATTCAAATCCCGTAGTGGTAGAGGTAATAAGAGTATAAGCAGTAATCAGAAAAATTAGTGTTTGGAGATGTTATTTAAGGAGTATAATACAGTGAAATAAATTTGGGAAGAGAAAAAAAGAGAGACAAGGAGGAATAAGGAGATCAAAATTTGGGAGAACAGAAAGAGTGTATGCACCTGCGCCATTGCAAACGATTTTGAGCCATGTCATTCAGGGTCTCTAACCATCGGTTGCTGTCATCTCGCGGTCCCCAACCATTGTACCATTGTACACTTGTGATGGAGTTTCAAGGGATTATCAAGAAAACAACTACTCGGTGCTTCTTAGCTTTCACTGACTTTTCATCATTTCATATCAGTCCTTACAGCAAAAAACAGTTCCTTCGGGTTGAACATATTTTTACAACCCAGTGAACTAAGTAAACTTATGATAAGTATTGAAATGTTGTAAATACTAATAAGTGCAACCATATAACAATATTGATATGCGTATTTATCAAATATTTATTTATAAAATGAACCCAGCATGACTTCAGATTAAATGAAGAAAAGTAACCAGTAGAAATGAGGAATAATACAATTACATATAAAAGCTTTTTCTGTTTGTTCAAAATTAATTACAACTGGCAGATATTAAAAAAGAGAGATGTAAATAAAAGATTTAATCAAGTTCAATCATAGTTTATTTGTTTATTTTTTATACGATATATTTATTGTCTACCGCGAAAATCGATCGTAATTGAAGTGAATCATTCGATTTAAAATCTCCATGGTTTTAGGCAGTGTACGCTGCATTATAAGATCTAAAAGCGTTAGGTTCGTGCGAACATAAAAACATTTTCCGGTCAATTACAAATCAGTTGATGCTGATCATAAATAGATCGGAATGAACATGAACAAAACACTCAACTTCTGGTCGTAAAAGTAACTCCAAATGAAATAGTATTGAGTGAAATATTCATTGAAAATAAATATTGAAAAATAGGTTATATAAGATAATTATTTTATTGAAATCATCAACTGATCTAAGTAAGACCGCCACTGAGAGATGGAAGCGAAAGACGGCCGTTCTATTTAAATATGGGACTCCTCAGCATTGTGTATTCACTAGCCTACAAGCAGGAATCGAACCCAGGACTTTCAGGTATCGCGTACAAACATTTGGCCTCTAAACCACCGAGCCGAAATCCAACGTCGTAAGATTTTTAACTTCTATCAATCCACGATATTGTGCGACTATTTTCTATTGTCTTTGGTAGATAACTGCCTCGTACCTAACACGGTTTAATTCCACTGGTCACGAGTTGTGACCAGTGAGCAAATGATACTTGTCAGTAAAAAGTTCAACGATCTCCACAACCCCAAACTGATAATTAATTTTAGTCTGATCAATAAGAAAAATAACTGGATCGATAGTGTGATTATTTGATAACTAAAGATTAACTAATTTATCACAGTATCATGTTCAAGATTTTCATGCAACATACAAATAGAAATTTTCTAGACTTTTTAAGGAATTTAGTTCATTATTACTAGTGATCAATAATTTTGTCGCCAGTCAACCGCTGATTATACTGTAGATTTTTCAAAACAATTCCATACAAATTTCAGGTTACTCAGATACATATTAGTTAGTAAATTACCAAAATACAGTTAGTAGTCGGTGATTACATGATACTATCTAAATTTCTCATAAAATATGTTCACCATAGAATGTGTTAGATAATAACATGATTAACTTTGAAAGCGGTCAGTCTTCATCGATTTACCCCGTCAATACAACGTGGATTAAAACATGCTAAAAACCTTCCGTTTAATTTAGATCTGACTTTTTCTCTATATTATGATACAATATAGTTTTACCCATTGAATTATTTAATCTTTGATACTTCATATTATTATAATTAATGACATGATTCATCAACAAATCGGCCAATGTTACATTATATTCAACAACTGTACGGATTCATTGAAGTTAAGTGTCATCTCAATGGTCTAATTGTATAAAGTTAGCAGCGGGATCTGATGTTCATAGGCTGAATCATCAATGAGATCTTGCATGAACTTTGTTGAGTCTCAAATACTAAGATGCAACAGTCTTTATAATTCTCCTAGGCTGTTAATGATACACGAATTGAGGTAAATCTACAACGAACACCGCCTACAAATTAAATTGATTACCATAAAGCCACGTCATTAATTGGATTATATTTTGAAAAAGTCTACCAATTTAACGAAGCTCGTTTATGGACACACACATATAACATTCATGAAATATAAAGAAACGAACAAAGAAATAACAGCTCCTGTTTAAATTAACATATACGCGCGCAGAACTAATATTTATTCATCTATTCAATTATGTCACTCGCATATCGAGTATATATATATATATATATATATATATATATATATATATATATATTATTTATTCAGAGTACTACCACCATCGAATACTTTAAATTAGTCACTTATCATAAAAGAACCTAATTCATCCTAAATGAAAGGTTCAGAATAAGAATGAAGCGGATTTAGAGTACAGTTAATATGGTTTGAAGTGATAATAACAATTATATTTTTTGCTCTTCCCTACATAAACCGTAGAAGTAGATTATAATAACACAGTATAATATCACATTTATCAGTGGACCAACCTAGAAAACAACAGATTTGGATATGTATATATATATATATATATATCATACTTAAGTATTGAATTACGATAAGGATTCCATTGAATAAACTATATACAAACCAATAATTTATCTTAATGACACACGCACCCGTACAAGGAAATATATCAAGATGAGAAAGGATAGTGAAAAAAAAACAAATAAATGCTTTTATACTATCCAATATAATCGTTACTGTATATATGCTCAAAATATGTGGGTAACAATTAAAAATTTATTATTGAAGTATAGATATTATAAAATGATAATAATTAAACTATTAATTATATGAACTGCTGAGTAAATATATGTGTATATGTATTTTCCGACTTTGAATTATTCAGTGTCGATTGTTCTGAAGGAGGAGGTACTTGAAAAGGAAATTGGGTTAGAGGTGGTTTTGGTGACCTGGGAGCGTGACCGCGGTGCCCAAGAGACAACTGCTTGAGGTCGGTCACACACGACCTTTTTATAAGTAATTTTTGTGTTGGCTCCGTACTTGTTGAGACCTTACCACCGGAGACGGATATCCGTGGAATAAGGCGAGGTGCGCAGTTTTAAGGTCGACCTTTTCTAACCTCACTCTTCCTTGTGGGAAAGCAGCATCGCTGCAGATGCTGGTTGTCTGAAGGAAACACCTTACTGCTGTCACACCTCTGTACAGTCAGCAGTACGACTTCGCCATCGAACCTTGGGTTTGTTGCTTTTAGTCTTATCGCTCTTCAACCGACCTGTCTGACATGGTAGGACCTTGAGGAACGGTTGTTCCAGCCAGTATAGCTCGGTTACTTCATCACGATAGGCAAGCCTGACCACCGCGTCAAGGTAGCAACAACGGTCAAGTCAGTGTTGATTAGTTCATTGAATATGTGCCTTGCTATTACTTGTTATTTATATGTGAATAACGTGCTCTGGAGGAGTTTGAAGTGATTTATGATATTACCTGATTCGAATCTTAGTCTGAATATTTTAAACATATAACATTAACTGGACATTTTTAACCATTAGTAAGGCATACGATTTTAGTGACTGAAATGAATTTCATAAAAAATGTTTACATTTGGAGGTCAACTTACTGCTCTACATTTCATCAAGTTGAAATTAGGAAATAAATTAAAATAATACTATTCTATGGTATCATTATATTATGCAATAAAATGGACAAAGTAATTTATGATTACAGCACACTAATAATAAATAAAACTATAAACAGATATGGATGGTGGTTAGCATTGGGATCTAGGGCGTGTATTTCGACCTATTTAAGATTCGTCAACTAGATTTATCTATATCCCTGAGGTGATGTTCACTCCAGGACTCAAATCAAGTATCGACTGCTTAAAACGTCATAGCTTAATCCACGTAACTTCTGAGTGCAAGTAGCCACCAGCTTGTGTAATAAATAACTGTTCATATTTTGATTCTTATCATTAACAAAGTGATACTTTCAACAATAGTGATGGAGTTAATTCTACTTTTATTAATAAATAATGCATGTCAATATACAGATGAAAATTATTTTGGTGTGTACATATGTAAGGCTCGCTTGACATAGTATTTTTAAAAGAAAACGCTTAAATGTATCTGCTTCATCTCAATTTTGTCGGAAAACCGATATATATGGTAACCATAATTATAAAAGCAATAACAATAAAAAGAACAATTTATGGTGAAATTATTATTGATAGAAACAAAAAACGAAACAACAACACATACATATACTTACAAAAATCACTTGGTTTAGCTTGAGATAAATCTTTGTAGAAATCTGTTCGATGAGCTTTTTTCAAACCTGTACACAAGCCAAAATCACTCAATTTAATATGACCCTATGGACCATTCCAGAGAATATGATATAGTTGTAGTTGTGATTACGTTATGTTGATAAATGCAAACGCATGAACGATGAGTTAGATGATTGAGTTGTGAGAGGAAAAAAAGGAAAATCATTATGACATTAATAGAATGCTAAATAAATGGTGTTTTAATCTAGAGGCAATTAATAGAGATTGTTGAATTTTAAAGTAGTTTCAGTCATGAATTGATATTAACTAGACAACTATTAATGACATGAAAGAACTATACAGCCGTTTAATTGTAGCATGGGACTACTAAACAGTGAAGATTCACGAAATTGCATCCAGGAATGGAATCAGGTGTCAATGGTGATTTGCATAAGATCAATACGTGAGTCAAACAATGAGAATTCTACAATCTCCTCAATTCTCTTTGTACTAATAATAATCATGTGGTCATCAGAAACTAGCTCTGAGTTCGAGTGAGAAGTAGTGACCAGTAGAGCTCAAGCAAATGATGAGGATTGCGCAATATTGTGCATTGAAATGTACGCTAATAGATCCCGGCTTAGTAGTCTAGAGGTTAGGGGTTTGCGTACGAGACCGAAGGTTCTTGGTTCCATTCTCGGACACAAGTTCATGGGTGCGCAGTTCTGTGGAGTCTCATATTAAGACTAAGTGCCCGTCCAGCACTTCCAAGTTTTCAATAGTAATATAGCTGAGATCAGTTCGTGATCTAAGTTATGGAAATGTTATTTAGAAAACTCAGAGACGATTTAAACAAGAGAATAAATAAGAAACGAGAGAAAAACATCTGTTTATAAACACTAGCTTTGTGTATGGCGCATATTTGAACAAAGCATTGTTTAACGAAAAGAGAGTAAGATGAACAATACGTAAAGAAATAGAAGAACAAAGAGAAAAGGCTCTCTTTCTTGTTTTTTACTAAAAGCTGAACTGAAATTAGGATATGTTTTTTGTTTTCTTAGAAAAAGAATGATAGATATATGCATTAACATAATCATTTTATTAGTAGTATGTACACTAACAAATTAAATTAACACAACATATCATTCGGATTTAAATAAAAAATATCAAATAATTTACACCAAAATACAACATTAATTCTAGTAATGACTTTAATAATATTATTTGATCAGTCGATTAATTCGAAAAACTGACTTATAAGCAACAGCTGAAGTAGTGTAGTCAACAGTTACACATCTCCAAACTACAGTCTACTCTATTGTACGATATTTGTTGAAGTAGGATTATGGTAAAACAATATCAAGGATTGACGAATTGATACCATGACGCTAAATGATGAAGTTAAAGACTGTCTATTTATGTTGTGAATTTAGGTGGAATTTTCTTTAAGGACTTCTTAAGGCTGATGAAGATAAATGTTTAGGCCTTCTAATCGACACAGTTTATAAACGACAACCGATTATGATACAAAAGACCTCAACAGGATTAGAGAATAAGGATTAAATCATCACAGCGTCAGTTAACAAAGGACTCATGATGGTAGGCTTTGATAAAGAAAATTTTTATCAAGAAAGTTGATTTTTTTGTTTGAAGACAACAATGATAGAGCAATAAAAAGCAAATGAGACTGAGTACGTACAATAAGAGCTAAACCTACCCTAAAGCATTCTCACTTCACAAAACTTGGAGACAATCACCATATTTTTATTATTCCAAGGAATAGCTATATATATATATATATATATATATATATATATATATATATATATATATATATATATATATAGACTTTCTAAAAGATGTCTCTGAAGATAAACTACCACCGTAAAACCGTTATTAAGAACCGAAAGATGTTTATCTTTTAAGAAATAAATAAAATTTTGAAATCCTTGGAAATTAGCAATGCTCAATAAAGTAACAAAATAACTTCTGATTTATACATTGGAAAAAAATAAACGGTGAATAACAATCAGTTATATGACAACCTGCTCTTATTGAGATAGATATTATACTGAAGAAAGTGAGAGTATTCTTCATTTAAGTATTAACGAACATAGAACTATAATTAAGCGACATCAATGAGTCTAGACAATATTGAATATAGACTTGAACGATAAAGGGTCAAAATTGTATATATCGAAGATACCGTAAAATCATTAATGAGTTTGAAAAAGTCAGACAATGAAGTCACTGTGCCGTATATAGACATGTAGCGACAGATTTAAACCACTTATTGATGAAACTCAGGTCAACAAATCACGTGATCAAAGGTCATCTAAGAACAGCAATCCAATGTGAATAAATTTCTAACACGGCAATCAGAATGGATGCATTCCGCGAAAATTCTCCTCTGCTTGATGAGACACCTGATGGTGTTATCCAAAATAACAGTTAAAGTTTTGTAATTAAATCCCCCAGTTAAGAAAATCTGCCAATATCAAGTTCATTTACTCACTAGCTTTCATAAGGGTCTGAACAATGTATTATCTTTAGGAGAGTTTCGCTTTTAGACTAGTATATTTCTTTTTTATTTCTTCCATTTTTATCGATTTTCTGCATTTGAGACGATTCTAAACTATGCAATTCATACTGTGCTCTACACTGAAACTAGGCAGTTGGAGGCTATTGTAAAGAAGTTTCGGAACCAAGTTTTGAAGTAGTTAGCACCTGTCATTGAGAAATATTTGACATCTCAAAAAATTGATCTTCTCTGAGGCATTAAAATCTACACCAACTCATGTTATATGCACAGATGTATTTTGACTACGACTGACTTTTATAAGACTGGTCACTTATTAAAAATCAATATGATGTATATACCTTAGTATAGAATCAATCCCATCAATCAAGCTGTTGTTAACCTACAATTGTTCTACACAAGAATATATCTGTCGTCATTACAACTGCTTAGAGACAACGGGATAGTATACTTGAACTGTAATTTATTCGCTTATTAAATTATGACGAACTGTATCATATAAAATTATAGAAAAATAACGCAACATTCCAAAATCAAGGTTACCTATATACATACATGTACACAAAAGAACACCTACCTTTGCATCCAGTAATAAATTGTCAGGTTTAATATCACGATGAATAAAACCCATTTTATGTATTGAATCTATTGCTAGAACGGTTTCAGCTATATAAAACTGCGTTTGAGATTCTGTCAATGTATCTCGTTTCATCAACAGTGTCATCATATCACCTAGAACATGAGAACACAAAAAATCACAACAAAATAGATAGAGATGAACCAGATGAGATAAAAACATTTTTGTTATCAAAATTATGGATAATATTGTGAAAAAAAAGACGTTACAGTGAAATTAAACATTGTTTCGCCTAGTTTACTCTAATTTATTTATAAACCACAGAGCTAGGGGGAGTTTATAATCATCCGTGTTTTAGTATTATTCAGTATAAACACGAATTTCTTTTTGAAAAAGATTTGAGGATAAATATTGATAGAAAGATGTTGGATACATTTTAGACAATATCAGTGGGTATTTTTAACTTAATCTTAGTAAAGAAATAATAGTACTCAATGAATCTTGGCTACGTGAACTAAAACGACTGAAGTGAGCCAGGAACCTGTAATTTATAGTGTTTTAATTCCTGGACTAGCGTTCTCGATCATAACAACTACTTACGCTACACTCATCATGAATAATTCGAAAATATATAACAAGACTTAGTCACAATTAACGATTCATAATTGATCGCTGACAAACTACATACTTCGATATTATTTGTAAAAATTATATTTGAAATTATCTCAGAGATTAAAATTTAAAGAATTCCAACGTTTACTGAACGAAACGTTAATCATTCAGATTATTTTAAAAATAATTTTCGCAAATATTGTCTTCTATATACTCGGCAACTGATTTCTGTCAAACTATTCGTTTAAACATTGACAGATTCTCCTTTGTCATTTTTAAAATGATCAAGCGAGGTTGAGAATTCATTTTCAACCATGTGTTAACATATATTCAATTGTATTATTATTATTACTTAGACAGGGTTGAAATGAACTTGATTTTCTACTGTATTTAAATAAATAAATAAATAAACAGTAAAACTAAGACAAAAACGACTGACTGATATGAAAACGATCAACTGCAGTTGAAGTAATTGAAAATCTAAAAAAAATCTTTGTAATTTTATTTGTTCTACTTTGAGAACCGAAAGAAAAATAATCGAACTAAGTTATCGACAACGATAATGGATTATCACGTGAATCAGTATTTATCTATTTAGAATAGATAAATCGTGGTTAGCACTGAAATTCAGGACGCTCATTTCGTCCTTTTTAGAATTTATTACCTGACTGTGAACAGGCATACTGGTATATCCAGGTAGCGAGTCTCAAACAAGACAAAACGCACATTCTAGATTCTATTATTAGGCAGGAACAACTTGTTCTAAACTTTTGGTTTCGTTTAGTTTAAACAGAGTATTGATGATATAGTAGGATAATCATAAAAGACGATATTAGAAACAAAAAAAATTAACAACACAGGTCACAGGGGCAAACAAATATGCATACACACTTAGTATAATATAAAGATGATGGATCATTCTGCTTGAATTGAAGTAACCTGAAATTTATCCATTAAAATCAAGTATACTAGTTTACAAATACAAACTGATGACTACACTTGTGTATGTATGCGTATAATCAATCAAGTGGATCATGACCTGCAAGATGTTAGTCGATTACAAAACGATTCGAAAGGTAGGATTCCAGAGGAGTAGAAGAAAGATTAAACATTAGTACTTATCACCTACACTTAGACGTACGTATATAAGGGTGCTTGTGAAGCTTAACTTTTCAAGGTCAAGGACATTTTTAGACTGTTATCATACGATCACTGATATTCCGCAGGCATTCCTCTTTTACATTTTTAAGCATCTAGAAGCAAATTTCTAAGCATATACACCAAATCGGTTTGTGAGATAGAGAGCATCAATCTACTTATATAGTTGGGAAATTTGTTATCCACATATAGCCTAACCACGGTCTACAATGACAAGCCAAGCTAGATAACAAACGAGTACATTGATAAAATAAAGATAGAAGACAATACCATAACGTGATATCAGCCCATGAAATCAAATGACCGTTTATCTCAATATGGTCAAGATTCGTGGGAATAATCGAAGTTAGGCAATAGACAATAACATAGAAACTATTTATTTTTTCCTAAATTTTAGGTGAAAATATTATGTTGTGTTCTTTATTCCTCTTATTGAATTATCTGACATACGATGGGTAAACACCATCTTAATGATCAGATTAAACTTATATCAATCAAATATTGATATGCTACTTATATCTTTTATCGGTTATAAAACTGATATATGTAGGAAATATTATTATATACTGTATTTTATTGTAATGATACTCATCTATCACTGTTTGAATCAGTTAAATGAAGTCAAATAAACTAAGTTATTTGACTAGTTTACGCTTTCAATTCATTTACAGTTTTCAATCACAAAACTGTATATCAATAATTGATTTTGTCATAGAAATTATCTTATTATGCCACTGATTTCATAGTAATTCTAGACAAGTAATGATTGTAAACAAAGATTTTATTCAAAAACAAATTAATAAATAAAATTATAACACTTAAAATTATGTAATTGTTTATTAAGATTTTAAGCATGATCTACACTAATAAAATTTATTTATTATGAAGGTCCAAGTCAAAAAAGAATAATGGTAGTCTGTGTGAGAATTTCGAAAAATTTAGTAAATACTCTGTACTATAAATATTGTCTGATCAGATTAGAAAAATCTACATACAAAAAATGAACACTTAATATGTGTATAATTGAATAGAGGAGGAAGGGAAAAAACGAAAGAGAATCTCAAAAAGAACTCATTTCAATGGCTTTACATTTGATTAGAAGTAGTGATTAGACAAAGACAGCAACAACGAGAGAACAAAAAAAAGCCCAACAACATGCATTAAAACATAAATCACATATTAGATAATAATAATAATAATAATAATAATAATAATAATAATAATAATAATAATAATAATAATAATAATAATAATAATAATAATAATAATAATAATAATAATAATAATAGAACAATGTTGATATACTTTAGTTCACAGTGTTTATTGAGATTAAGTGATAGAAAATAATCACAATATCAAAATTATTCAATAATAAAAATTGATTACAGATGGATTCGTGGTGATTTGTTAGTGTCATAATTCACATCAAGAATTAATATTAGTTAAACAACCACTGAGAGTGGTGATCCTCTTAGGTCTGGTTAGAAATAGTAACTATTAGTGTACAACTATATCGGGGGTGTAGGGAAATTACTCATCACTGAAAATGGAAGATAATTGTGCAATATCACGAATCGATTGAAATTAAACAATGTAAACCGTTAGATTTTGTCTAAGTAGACAAAAGGTTAAGTACTCGTTACAACATATGAACTACTTTGATTATGATATATTTATGATATGATGTATTTAATAACTGATATTGGAAAACAGTTTGATGCTACGTTTTATACTCGTTTGTCAAGTCTGTTTATTGTAGTGTAGCGAAGTATAAAAGTATATATATTGAACGATTCACATAAACACTCTTGATTATATCATAAATATTACATATATTGTGTACAGATATTAATATATGGCCTTGATACGATCGAGGATGTGAAGATTCCACTCTCCCCCTCGAAATGCTCTCACATGACGACGACTATACAACCACTAACAGGGAAGTCCTACTCACTGCCTTCTCGCAACATTACTGTTGTTTACGTTTATAGAAAACCAATGTTTAGTGCACTATTCAGAAGTCATCATTCAAGGAAGTTGACTATTATCTTTTAAAAAACAAAATGTTCATTAATTCAATCAACGATAGTACACAGGAAGACTAAGTACAAGCGTTTTTTGTAAAATTCAGAAAATGAATTGATTTTCAATTTTACGATTTAAGATAATCAAAATTCTGAAATCTTTCACTTAGATATCAACCAATTGATAGTTGTTATGAATAGTAGTAGCAAGTACATTATATTTTGTTAAATTATAAAACCCCACCTATATTTATTGTTCATAAGGTAATGAAAATTGACCAGATAGAAATTCTATTGTTATGATAAATCCACAACAGTCTACATCATCATGAGAGAGAAAACAATCCCAATACATCTGATAACTGTCATCGTATCGTGCTCTCTCTCTCGCTACTTTTTTTCATATCTCATTCGCTTAATGTAGGCAAACAAACAAAAAATATATTACTACCATAGTAACAATATCGTTATAATAATGATTATTTAATTTATTTTCCATAAAATATTCTATTGTTTCCCACTCTGTTTTGTTATATTTTATTGAAAGAATTGCATTATAATATATCAATAGGCATTATAGAAGTAGGAAATGAAGTATAGATTAGCTCTTCAGTAATATTCACAAATAATTCTTTCTATAATTCCCAGAAAAAAAAGAAATGAAAAGCAACAAACTAGAATAAAGAAGGACAGAGACTGCATCATAGTGTTGACGTTAGATGAAAATCATGATGTCACAAATTAATTGAAGTTAGGAATTTAGATTACTAAGATTTCGAACAAAATGGTTGAAAGGTGTGGTGGTCTCAGTGAGAACTGACGATCTTGTATGTAAGTTTTAATGATATAAATTAAATCAAGAAAACACTAACTGAACTTACCACCTGGAAGGAATTCCATAACTAAATACAGATTGACCGAATCTTGAAATGAATAAAACATTTTCACAACCCAAGGATTATCAGCTTTGACTAGAATATCACGTTCAGCTCTTACATGAGCCACCTAATGATTAGAAAATAAATGAAGTATTCGAAAAAATTAAAATATATTTTCAGGTTTTAAAAAGGTTGAAATTCATTACGTTACACTCGACTAAAACAACTACAATTGAAGATAGAAATCTAAGCTAAATTGTGTCATCTTTGTTTTGCGTTACACAGACTTGATATTTTTTAAAAGTAATTGATTGACAATTTTCTTTAGAAATATTAAACAATTTATTTCATAGCTGGTGGGATTGTAGATGAGCACTGCTGAGGAGTCTGATACTAGGAAAAAACAGATGTACAATGTTTCCTTAATTCGAGTGATTATCTTTAACTAAAGTTAGCTCATGATCTAAAACTATGAATTTAATCATAATTTCTCTCTGAAACCACCTATACCGATAATTTACCCTAATTAGCGATGGAAATTCATAATCAGATTGACAGAAATCAACTCTGAAAGAAAATTATTTACTACTATTTTATCAACAACACTAGTTCACAAGTATATGGTGATTCATTAGCAGATTGGTTTTGTTAGATGCTTCAGCTTATGGACTTTAATCATGCGGAAAACTGTTAGAAAGTAGAGAGCTGTGGAACGCTATTTGAACCATAAACATAGTTTATAAGTAATTTGAGTTCAGACTCGGTAAGAACCGAAGACTTCCAGATATTGTAGCGAATTCATTATTCTTAGACTAGATCCTTGTTGTTTACATCTACAATAAACAAATAGATAGAGGATGAGCAACCTAAAACTTGATATCGATAACCAGTCTTAACCACATTTTTGTTTCGAAAATGACAGTAATTCAAGTAAACAACACAACAATGTTATCTCATTATTACTAAAATAACGAGAGGAATTCAAGTGAGAAAAAAAACTCAACAAATGACGTTTGCACACATGTTGATAATTATAATGATGACACGCAAATGAAAAACGCGGGATCAATAAGCGTAGAAACCCGTATTAATAACAATACGACCACTACTATTACTACTACTAATAATATTAACATCAATCTCAGTATTACAAACGTGATAGTTTAAACGTAGCTGAAAACAAAATCAATACAAACGGTGAGTGTATCTATGTCCTTCATATGTGTGTACTTGTAACTAAGATTAATGGTCAATTTAACTATTGTATTGATGTGTATTACATTTTTATAGTTGTGATGTATAGCTCTTTTGTGTTTCAGTGAGTAATTTATGCATAGAACTACAATTACACAAATATTCATGAACAGCTACAATGGGAAAACAAAAAGGAAACATGTATTGTAATGAAAAAGATAATAACAATAATAAGTTGTGTTATTTCTATGTAAGTAAAATCAGTTTTTTTGTAACTCTATAGGCAAAACAAAAATGTATTACGAGTACAAATGTAGAATAACAACATTTCTGAACGAATGGTATAGAAGCTAATAAATCTATACAAACACATTACGCTTCGATGGACTACATGACAATGGTCAGTAGTACATATATATCTTCTGACAAAGATTTGTGAAGAAATTGCAGTTTGTAACTATTTCGTAAACTATTCAGTCGAAAAATAAGAGTTAATAAAGTTTAATCCATTTAAAATTTATACAATAAGCACGGAACAACGGTCAGTCAATTAATATTATAACAAAGCAGAGCATTTAATGTTAATTACTGACTAGTTATCCCCCCACAGCCAAACTTATCAACCGAATGCGATACATTTTGGCGTTCAAGCTACCTACTGCTAGCAAACAACGAGAATAGGGTGCTAAAATAAGGTCCCTCTATTCTTATAGAGTTGGAAAAGCTATCATTTATCCAAACCGAGGGAGGCAAACAAGTTCTAGTGGACTGACATCGGAGATCTTTAGGAATGATGGTCTAGTTTTAGCAGCTAGAGTGACTGAGATTGTTTTATCAGCTGATTTATCCACCAATTAAAATACGACTTATACAATCTTAGCACTGTGCCAAACCAATGACGTTCGAGCGGTATGGGCAACCTAGCATCCTTATTGGTCCTATGTCCGCCTAACTCGTCCACTTGAGTCCAGAACACCAATACCAGCTTCCACGATGCGAATCTAATCATTTATTTCAGACATACTGGGTTTATATATCAACCAAACAGACCGCAACGCACCATAAAATAGGAAATAACATTTGTACACAATAAAGCCAAAAAGTGGCTGTAAATGTGGGAGGCAGTAAGTCAATAAACTGAACATAGCTTAAGAACAGTAAATCGTACAATAATAAATTATAGGTCAAAATAAAGCTTATAATAAGAGGAATATAAGTATACATAATCTAATGACTGAATAGTTATACAATAAGAATATTTATAGAATATTAGTCCATTAATAGTCCTCAGAAGTTACCCGTAATTTAATCTTCACTGGGATATAACAAGATATTAACTAGTCTCAAGACTAGACGTAATCCAATATGACTGGTACCAAACTGTCACTGGAATCAATAACACAGTGGTATTCGTCATGGTTGTCACAGCTTCTTCCAAATTTATTTAACTTTTCCATAAAAATATTATTAGAGAAAGCCCTCTCATCATCTGAATTTTTATCAATTCATCTCCCTTAAGTATATATTTACCTGCTGACTTAGAATACATGGATGACATAATCCTGATGGACCAATATGATGACAAAATGCAGTCTTCTAAACACTATGAGCAACAATACAAACGTGTTTGGGATGTTAACCTTTAAGTAAACGCAAAAATGTTGCTCCTCGAATCATATCTTCTATGTCGATGCAAATGTGTGCCAGGTTCTAGGTTGCATAAGACTGACTAACTGACAAATTCGTTTAATGTTTCATGGCTATTTCCTTTTCATCTGTATCTAAAGTATATATCTCGAGAATAACAATGGAGGATTTACAGTTCATTTCGTTCAGAGAACGTGACACCTCCAAATACGTAGTCATTATTTATGAATTATATAATCAAGATTGGCACTTCTTATTGAGTTTGTAATTTGCTTTATTCTTAAAATATTCGTATCGAAAGAAAAGCATTTTTGGGAACCTTGAAAACAGAATTATATGGAATTGTATGTAATGAATGGATTGTAGCCAGCAGTGTAACACACAGAACGAGCGTTTTGTTCTGTGATTATATCGAGACAATTTGCACAGAACGAAAATATCCTAACAAGGACTGATGATATTTAAATCAAGGGTATCGATACCAGGATGAATAGAACACATATCAGTAACATCATTCTGACCAAAAACGTTAATGGCTAGCTGGACTCACTGACTCAATGAATAACATACTGGTGTTTGAAGAGATATATACTAGGGTTCACATCTCAACTTGAACATCAATACTGGGATGATGTAGGTGTGTGCAAATAATGGAACACCTATCCTAGATTCTACCACTAGCTATAAAAATTTATCTGTTCTATATAACCATTAGAATTTTTAACAGTAATTTATTTCAAGAATACAAATAAGGGTATATGTTTTATAAAAAGAGAAAATACTGTCATAATCTAAAGAAGTGAATTCAACATTAATAAAATTAGAAATTAAACAAGACAAAATTAACAATCATTATTCCAATGTATACCGAATAATATTAACTATGGTTAATTACGACAAGACTAAGATTAAGCGCTTACTTGATCCTTTTGTAGCATATCTGCTTTATGCAAAATCTTCATAGCATAAATATAGCCATTGTCTTGTTTTTGAACTAATCTTACCTATCAAACATGTATAAAGAGAAAGAGTGAGAGATAGAAAAATCATAATAAAAATTTTATCATGAGGAGAAAAACAGTGAAAAGGTAATAGATCGTGAAAAAAAGCTTTTCATGAAGTTCAATACCGCCAATGAAAACAACTTCCTCCTTCTTGTTAAATAAGTCACAGTAAAACATGAATTATCAGTGTAATGTTACAGAGACCATTATTCAATAGCTGACGTGATATAATGTGTTTTTAGTAATAGCTACAGCACACACGCGGAGAGATTTCTTCTACAAACGTCTGTAAACTATTTGATATCCTGTGTTACTAATAATTATTGATGAATAAACGATAAATAGGATGTACTTGATGTACTTCCATCTTCATTCCTAACAGTCGAACCCAAGAAACCAAAAGTAGTTTCTTCCAGAAGGGGACAAATGCACACATGCATCAGGTTTCATTTTGTTTATAACTGGCTAAGAACATAGTTGAATGCCTAAAAAATCATTCAAACCAATCAACAAAAGGATGAATTGAATAAAAGTTTGATATTAAGATCATTGAGAGCGAAAATATTTAAATTAATGACGTTTATTAAAGAAGTCTTTTAGAAAACCTTCGTCATCATCAATTGATGTAAATACACTTCACTTATTTTTACAATTTAGTCCTATGACAATTATGATTCATTAAAAATCTCCAAAAATGCAGTCACATGTTAAACTGTCTTATATTTTTATCATTTGGATTCAAAATAACTCTGTGACCTTCGATTTTGACCACATAGCCTGTTTAATAAACAACCAAAACGAAGACGAAAGAAGCAAACAATTAACTGAGTGCAATTGGCATCACAAGTCAATTTAAGTTAAATGATCACTGAAAATCAGGAAAAACTGAACAGCTGTTTTGTCTCAGCACAAGTCAACAGTTGTTGACCATAAAATCAAATGGTCTCCACGAAATCCCTATATTGTAATTCCTGGAGTTCTAATGAGAAGCCAGAACCAGTGGAGTCCACATTCAGTGTGAGGCAGTTAATCAGCAGCGATGTAGGAAGATGACTGCACAACATTACGAACCAACTGACGTTAGAAATATAAACTATTGGATGATGAAACAGAGACTTAAAAGTTAGGCGTTCGGATTCGACTCATGGAGAAGACGTGGATGGGCATACCCGTGGAGTTTCGAACCTGAATAAAACAGCTATCGCGTGTTTCCTGGTTTTAATTGGTTGTCTAATTTAGGTTGGTTTATGATCTCAATAACATTTGATTACGCTGTTTAAGTGAGAATGAAAACTTAGCAAAAGGAATTATAGTATTCAAGTTAGTTGATAATTGTCCCCAAGTTCTATGACACTGTATGAACTTTATGATATATTATACACCGAGATGGTCACGACAAACTTATTTTGTAATTACTTTTTGATACAATTTGCGTTTTTTGTTAGTTCTCATAATTTGTACATTTACTACAAATAGCTGTAAAAGTTGTTTAAAATTGTATGACATTGAATATTTCCGCTTGCGTTTGGAATCACATATAGCACGATACACTGACAACCGCTCATAAATACACTGCTACACACACATGTCTACCGTTCTCAATTGTCTGATGTTATGATAACTGAACTCTAAAATATTTATTACCTACATTTATAGACCACAGCCATATTTCCACTATATACACCATCTGGATATACCGCTCGAATTATATCAATCTTTATTGGAATTATTAATTACCTATAATTGTGTATTATTAAACCAAAAGCAACTCAAACACGCCAAGTCCTGACAATTTAAGTAACGTCCAGTAAATTTTTCTTGTGTTTATAAATTATATTTAGTATATTAATACATTAATTTTTGGACGAAATAACTTTATTATCACTTTTGAGTTAATATAATTTTTGATACATCACAATTATCTGATGAACCCGAAGTTTATTCTGTTTGGCACATTGTTTATTTTACCCGACTCGCAAGTTTATTTTTCACATAATGTAATCTCCCAATAATCTTAGTGACATTGAGGGTCCTCTTTTAAATGCTCCTACTTCATTACCTGACTTGTCTGACCCATTGTAAGCACGATCAATGCTATATTCGAATTCAGACACAGTTCGTACAACAACGATAATTTTGAGCAGTCACAAGGTAATATAAACGTCTATTTGATCAAGAGAATGCTTTTTTTATCCCAGTACTGAGTTCACTAAGAGAATACAGAAAGTAGGCAAATTAATCATTACAAATTAAGCACTCATAGGTTTATGAGCACGAATAATCAGACCGCAACATACCTTAAATCAAAAACCATACTTTTGATATAACAAAGCGTTAAGTGACAGAAAATGAAGCAAACAATGAGCAATTAGTATGTGATAAGTAAGGAATGGTAACACTTGTAGCATTAGTAAATTTGTCCAAAGGAACCTTGGAAAAACACTGAATATGGAAATGTGATAACCCAATTTATTTATTGATCATACAACAAAAGTTGATGATAAGTAAAACAGTTCCATAACTTAATTCTCCAATATTCGCCCTGTTAGAACATTCGGTATCATTTTAACACGTAATTACACATTTAAGATTGGAATAACAATAATAAACTAAGGAGCATACCATTAAGAACCAAAGTAACCTGAATAATTTACAAGGGAATGTGGTCGTTTGAAGTTATATACAGTCTGAAGAACCGTCAAATATTTCGATTAGTTTAAACACGATGACTAATGTATTGGTTATACGTTGAATAATTGATACGAAGAACAAATTATGAACAGTCATTAATATAAGATGATGTATTATAAATTGAAAAAGTGGAATCCCCGTAGATTACAATTATTCAGTTAATCTCCTTTATTAACTCTCACAGAAAAAAACGAGAAAAAAAGAAACATTATTTCTAGAGTTTTACAAATGGTTTGAACAGCTTAAACTTTACAGAAATGATCTATTAAAGTCGATTTTCTATTTTGTTCTATCGTTAGACGACAAAATATTAATGGATTTATGCAAATCCATTTACTTATTGAATCAAATGAATTATTCATTATATTTTTAAAAATAGCAACATCCCAAATCAGCAGAGAAAAAGAAAAGAAGCAAAGTAAAACCTTACTGGACAAGACCACCAACAATCAACCACTTAGACTCCCCTCAATGAGTATGCGAACAGTTTTCAGACAAAATTTTATTTCTAACGTTGTTAAGTAGGTGAGAATTTGTGGAGGAAATAATAAGTAAACTACTAAAAATAGGAATACAAAGACGAAAAGAATAACAGCACTACACAGTCAACAAGAATAAGTGGCGAGACTATAATTTATGGACCAGCCAATCAGACATCAGATAACAAGTCTTGAATTTTGACGCGAAATTCATCCATACATTTGGCTAAATAGTGCGTTGGCATTTTAGCTGACGTCAGTTTGTTATGAAAACACTAAATCTAATTCCTAACCCTAACCATCAATTGTAAATTATAATTTTAATTACTTACACTGGTTTATGAACCTCATTTAGTCCTAGTTGGTACGTGAACATTCTCAAGGTCACTCTTTGGCGTCGCTGAAAGGCCGTCCATAAATTATAGACTCGCCGAATAGATAAACTTTAGAGTATGAAAATAAAGCGATTCTCTATCTATGCACACATACACAATAGTTAATTCGGAATCTAATTAAAGTAAACCATTTGAGTATTCCTGCTTTGTATTACACATTTCAGTAGATTCCATCAAATATTTTAGTTGAAAACAGAAATATCTAACATTCCGGTCATTAGAAATAGCATTCTACTCATGATGAGAAAAGCCTATCAAAATTATAGAAAAGTAATATGTTTTTCCAATGGTCTTTGAATAATTGGAAAGTACAACGTTAAAAATTCCTATATCTGTGCCATTTTAAAAGCCTGGATATATGTGCAGTGTGATGTTCTTCTTAAAAACCTATCACTTAAAAACAAAGATATTTGTTGGTATATATTCATAAACAGAGATATACTTCAAAGTACATTATCTTTCCGTAGAAGAAACTACTCATATACTTAGCAGTAAAAACACAACTGTAAATAAAACTAACCTCATTGCATAACAGATTTCATTTAGCATAATTGTGAATAACACGTTACGATTACTCTGCCTTATTTCTGAATTTAGAAAAAAGTTGTTTGTTTAATAATCTCAGTACTATTACCAGTCAGTTTACCGCTCTTATAGAGTAAAATTAATCAGTTACAAGTGACACAGAACCTAATATTTATGTACATCGCTTCAAGCTGTCACATGAGATCAGTATAGAGATGAAATAACCAACGCAAATGTAAACTACATAAATGGCATAATCATCCTTGTATTCAACTGAGATCTCCAAATATGACTTAATAAGGACAATACAGAGAGGTTGATTCATCTCTTCAACAAACAGATACAGACTTCACACTACATACCGTTGGAAAGAACTAGTCAAGTGCTTCGAAAAAAGAATAAACCTCAACAAGTAGATTTATCATAGAATTTTACAAAACTAATCAGTTTAACACAATGAAGCAGTTCGAACAGGACAAGAACAATGAATTTAACCAGAACGACATAAATCCAGTTTATCACGGTTCAAATGTAATCAGTTGTATAGGATTTCCATAGGGTTGAAGCTAGTTACATTGGTTAACACAACCATCTAGCAGTTAATCGTAGTAGAGCAAGAAAGACAAGAAGTTAAATGTTTAATAATGACTAACTACATCTAAATGACAATAATGATAATTCTACAAAACAAGTTTTTTTATTATTAAATCATGTTATTTTCACTACCTATATTTATGACAACACTCCTACAACCAATTTCGATTATGGTTAATTTTTGTTAAGCCCTTTTATTAACTAACTTAACAGACAATCTTTTTCGAGCAGTAAGGATTTGTCTAATTCTTTGTTCTATTATAATCAATATTATATCTGTATGCATGCGTACGGTTGATCAGATGACAGCCTACGT